CCCTGCTTCGTGCAATTCTAGCATGAACGAAAAGGGAATTAATAAGACGAAAGGAAGTATAAGAGAATAATGATAAATCATGCCTCAGTTTCGGAGACGAACAAATGCCACTGGCCTTCTGCCTCGTGGCCGACGAACAAATGCCTGAGTATCGTTGCGATCGCCTCTCCCTCTCGACAGCCTCCGGTGGACGTCTACTGCCGTGGGAGGAAGGACATCTACGCGCCCCCCCGCGCGCCCTTCTACTTCGCCTACAACGCCGAGTCCATCGCGGGCTTTGACCTGCCCTTCCCCGCCGGCGACAACGAGACCACGACCGTGCACTTCACCACCGTCCTGTCCCACACCGTGAGCAAAGCCTCGGTTTTCCTCTCTTTTTTCTTGCGGATTTATCAGTACCTTTGATCTTGCTATTTCTTCACAGAAATTTAGTATGCCATAGAATTTCTGTTTTTGTCTGTTATACGCTCATCAATCTGGTTGCAACTGGATTTACTAATCCTCCGGTTACAAGTAAATAGTGTTGCGGCCGCTGCTTTCGGTGCCATATTTGCTATCATCTTTTCTCACAATTTATCATATTTTTCGAAATATGCTTTTCTCCACTCTTCTGCAGCAATACTACGACTGGGATGCCAAGGTGGTCAGAACAAAGTACGTTCCATGGTTCCTTTTTGGACAAGAAAACAGGTACGAATACACCACGGAGCTCATCCAAGACTTCCAGCAAGGTCAGCACCCGTGCAGTTCGTCAAACCAACTAATGTTCTTTCTTCAGACGAGGCTGTCAAACCTTTCAATCCTCCTAATGAAGTTTCACATCCTTTTGCTTTTTCTTCCCCATTGCCTTAATCCCTAGGGAGGTCGGCCATTCGAATACGCTGCCCCCGAGTTGGTCTATCCTGTGCATCCTCCTCTTTTAAGTTTAGCATTCCTAGGTCTTCATGCTCATTTTCTTTCCATCTGCTCCTTTGTCTTCCAACTGATCTTCCTCCTACCGGGTGTTGGTATGCTATCTAGATGGAGTCTTCATCTCTTAATATATGGCCCAACCGTCTTATTTTTTTCTTATCTGATTTTATTCTGACTGTACTTGCTTCAGTTCTAACTTCCTTTCTTTTCCTATCTCTCACTGAAATCCCTAACATCCATCTCAGCATCCTTAGTTCGGTTCTGTCTATCTGTTGTTCTCTTTTCCTCAAAGCCCATGTGTCTGCGCCATACATTATTACTAGTCTTACTATTTGTTGCTTAGTTTTCAGTTTGTCTTGCTGGTATCATTTTCTTCATAATGATACAGCTAACCTCCCTCCGTTTTGCCCAGCCTTTCTTTATTCTCTCACGAACATGTCCCTCCCCCCTTAGCAATCATGTCTCCCAGATATTTAAACCTTTCTACTTGTTTCATGGTATTGCCGTGTGAGTCTTTAACGTCTAATGATTCAACTCATCCCTACTTTGCACTAACCATTAATTCTGTCTTTCCTGAGTTTTCAAACTTCAACGAGCTTTTTCTGTAGATCTTCAATTTTACCATTATGACTAAGTCATCTGCATAAAGCAACTCACATAGCCCTTCTGTAGCTATATGATGTGTTGATACATTTATTATTACCAATAAAATGGACTTGATGTCAATCCCTGGTGTAGTCCCACTCCTGTTTCGAATTGCTGCGATTTTCCTTGCAAGGTACTACCTCTGGTCGTACTGCCCCTATACACTTCTTTTACTAGGTCTATTAGTCGTTCACATACTTTTTTTTTCTTTTAGGCCCAGTACTCTGGGTACCCGGCCATACGTCTTTTCTAGGCCAACAAACGCATAACACATTTTTCCATTTGCCTTCAATCCTTTTTTTTTTCTTTTTTTTTTCTGCCTTTCAATTTATAAGGCATTTCTTGTGCACTTTCCCTTCATAAACCCAAACTTATTACTTATTTTGACTTCATCTCTTAATCCCGTGTCTAATACCCGCTCTCCCACTTTCACCAAATGCTTTGTTAGCTTCATTCCCCTCTGGTTTTCAAATGAGTACGTTTCCCTTATTTTTGCATATAGTTATTAGTTCCCCTTTCTTCCAATCCTCAGGAATTTTCATCTCTTCCACTATTTCTTGTGCTGTTTCTATAACCCGCCCTTCTCCCTTTCCCCCCGTGCCGCTTCTCCTAAAATGACTTTACTTATCGCCTTGTAATCTCATCTCTGGATATTCTCCAGATATTCTCTGGATTTATTGGTCCGAACGTTTTATTCAGCAAGATGTTGAATTACTCCTTCCATCTGCTCCTTAGGTGCTTCGTCTTGCAGGTCTTCTGTTTGTATCCTTTGCTACTCCTGTCTTTCCCAAATCCTGTCTCTTCGTCTGTCTAGCTTTCACTGCTTCACAAATTTTCTTCTCTCCTCTTTCCTATAGCTCCTTTTCTGTTTCATCGTTGCTTATTCTATTGCCTGTTTTGCTTCCCTGTTTGCTATTTGGTATTTTCTTCTGCCTATACTGCTTTCTCTCTTACATTCCTTACGTAGTTTCTTACTCTGCAGGATTTCCCACCGTTCATCTTACTTCTGCTAAGTTGGACTTTCTCTCAACACTTTCTATTTTTTTTGTCCCTTCCTATCTACTCTATTTTCCAATTCTACACTTTCTATTTCTTTAAATCCCATGTTCATCTCCTTTCAAGTTCCAGTATTGGTTTCTTTTTGCCGGTTAATCTCATTTTACGTTGTCTCCATGTACTATCCATTGCCAGTCATCTGTTGTGTCACGCAACTTTCTCATGGAATTACTTTCTTCTCTCGCTTTCCTTTTCAATAAGTGATCAATTTGGATCTTGTGGAACCCACTATCGCTTGAGATCAGATGTTTTCTTAAACAATGTGTTGGCAAATATGAGTTCTGCACTCTGCGAAGTCAAGCATTCTACCCCTTCATTATTGATTCGTTAGTTGGGGCAGGCTAAACGCGGTTGTCGTATTTCATTTATTCAATTAAATGTAACAAGATTCGACCTGCACAAAATAATGATAATAATATTACATGATAAACCTGCTATATATATATATATATATATATATATATATATATATATATATATATATATATATATATTATATATATATATATATATATATATATATAATATATATATATATATATATATATATATATATATATATATATATATATATATATATATATATATATAATATATATATATATATATATATACATATATATTATATATATACATATATATATATATATATATATATATATATATATATATATATAATTATGATAATAATAGTAAAGATTACAATCAAGCTTAAATTCATTATACATTTAATAATCTCTCAATAATAATCAAAGTTCCGCGCCAAGTTCCTGCCGAATATTTCACGTGTAAGGGCAGCACAGCGCAGCATATCACAGAAGCTGTAAACAGGTTACCAATAATCACATGTGTCACAATAAAAAAAAAACAGGTTACCAGTTATTACATGTGTCACAATAAATGAATACGAAATTCACTCTAATAAATCATAGATTTAATTTTTCATTTGTTATTAAATTATGAAATTCTTCCAAAATAAATTTGAAACATTCTATAATCTCAAAATGCATACCTTTCTAAATATCCATAGTGGCAGTTTGGATGCTAGCAAATCTTCAAAAGAAATTTTAATATTCCGAAACCCCGGAAGCACAACACGAGGCACCAACGTAGCAGTAATTTTACGCAGGACTGACGAAATCACTACAGTGTTTCAGATTGCTAAGCTTTCTGTACAAGGTCAAGCCCAATAAACACATTTAGAGGTATCAATTACAAAAAATATCATGTCCTAAAATTCGCATACCATAACAATGAACCACATGCGTTCTTTCATATCCTACGGCTTCCCTTCCTATTCTCCCATTTAAATGTCCTCCAATTACAAGATATTCTTTATCTACCACTTCTCTCGCTGCCTCTTGTAACTAAAATTTTCATTTCCTTCCTCGGAAAAGCCTACATGTGAAACAAATGCTGATACAACAATCATTAGATTACTCTTCATTACAAACTTTACTTTCATGGCCCTATACCTTTCCACTTATAGGACTTTATATATAAGTATATATATATATATATATATATATATATATATATATATATATATATATATATATATATATATATATAATATATATATATATATATATATATATATATATATATATATATATATACATATATATATATTATATATGTATATATATATATATATATATATATATATATATATATATATATATATATATATATATATATATATATATATATACATACATATATATATATATATAATATATATATATATATATATATATATATATATATATATATATATATATATACATATATGCCCACCGAACACGCACTTGGTTTAGGATGATTTAAATGAATTCCAGAAGAGGCTACTTTTTAGTGGAACAGTTACAGAGGAGACAAAAGTATATTTTTTCTAGCAATTTAGACCGTAGATCCCATTGAGAGATGTATTTTGATTACAACTTTAGCGGCCGTAGGAAACTAGCTGTATTTTTTCTTTCCTTGTCTTCTATCCACCTTCCATTAACAAAATCTTTTCAGGACTGACATATGAGATCTTGGAGCACCTGAAGGTCTGCAACATTAGGCCTACAGAAAACTTCACAAGTGCCGGCGACATCACAGTCGGCGACGACGGTAGCGTGTCCATGGTGCCTCCTTGGATTTTCGCGGACTTGGATGAGCCTATGCAGTACAACGGCTTTGTGAGTCTCTCCCTTCGTTGGCAGTTCCTGTTGTCCCATATTATGTATGTTTCTTTCGCCTCACTGTAGCTAAGGCTTTTCCTGAACCACAGAAGATTTTATTCTTGGATAACTCATTTCTTACTTGTGATGGCAGCGTCCATCGCCACCTCTTTTCGAACGACTTTCAGACATATTCTCCCAATGCTACAACCCATGCGT